ACACCTGAGTCCTGATAAGATCCTAACCCACTGTATGACCTTGGACAAAACAAATAACTTTCTGAGCTTTTTATTTTTTTAAATTTGTTCAATGAGGAGGCTGGTGTAAGTCAGTGGTTCCCAGTTTTTTAGAGTGTGAAAACTCTTCTTAATTTCAGAAAATCATGAATACCACATTATAAAGGTGTCAATTTTGTTGCCCACTGAAAGGAAAAATACCTATAAATATATACGGGTTCTAAGACTCTTCCAATAACTCTAGAGTCTCTGTGAAATGCTACAGGCTAGAACCATTGATCTAGCTGACACTGAGCCCCTTCTGGCGATGATAATCTGGGGCTCAAGTCAGGGGAATTCAAAAGGAAAGCTGACATTAAATATCAGATCCAAGAACAGCACTAGAAGTTTTCAAAAGAGATGAATTAAAGCAGATTCAAGGATCTAAGAATCGGAGCTGAGAGAGAACAGAGGGAAGAATGAACACTAACAACAGTGGAAGACTGTGGGGCAGCATGTCGGGAAGCAGGGTTATACAGTGCGGCTCATACCAGCGAGAGGGGCAGACGCCATCATAACTAAGAAAAGGAAGGCAGAGGGGAAGGTGATTTCGACTCTCAGGCAGGGTGGGCCACCTCTTCTTGACCTATATAAATATGTTATATAACAGCATATTAAATATAAATATAATGTAATTAATAATACATGTTATATTGGATAATATTCACATATAAAACCACCAAGATAGTATATGTGCATGGTTCATAGTAGGTTAGTTTTCGTTTCCCCTCCTTTGTTACCTTAACAGTTGAAGTGTTATTTAAAGCCTTCTGTTTAAAATTCTGTAAAGATTAGTGCCATCAGAGTTGACATCAAGAAGATAGTGGCAACGACTTAGGGTAATTTCCATGATGTACATACAAGAGTTATGCCCACAGAAAAATTTATTCTTATGGTTCATCCAAGCACTGTCACTTTTGTGTTTTTCAATGCTTTGTATGCTTCATATCAAAAAAAGAGACTGATTCTCAAAGACATTCTGCCTTATAGCATTCTTCCTTAAGTTTTTAGGAGATCTTAACCTGACAGTTTACATTTCCCAGAGTTAAACACATATTCAAGAATTAGGTTGAGAATACAAGGTCAAATTTCGATCCAACATTCATCAAGCTGCACTGAGAAGCAAGACAGGAACATAAGAAAAATTCCTGAAAAAATTTACAGGTTATTAATTGTCTATTTTGCTTTTCTATAAAGGAATACCTGAGACTGGGTAATTTATAAAGAAAAGTGGCAGGACTTGCCACACTCTTTTTTTTTTTTGAGATGAAGACTCACTCTTGTCCCCCAATCTGGAGTACAATGGCATGATCTCTACTCACTGCAACCTCCACCTTGGGTTCAAGCGATTCTCCTGCCTCAGCCTCCTGAGTAGCTGGGATTACAGGTACGTATCACCACGCACAGCTAATTTTTTGTATTTTAAGTAGAGACGGGGTTTCACCATGTTGGCCAGGCTGGTCTCGAACTCCTGACCTCAGGTGATCCACCCGTCTCAGCCTCCCAAAGTGCTGGGATTACAGGCGTGAGCCACCGCACCCAGCACCACACTCTTTTAAACAACCAGATCTTGTGTGAACTCAGAGTGAGAACTCACTCATTACCATGGGGAGAGCACCAAGCCATTTATGAAGGATCCACCCCCATGACTCGAACACCTCCCAGCAGGGCACACCTCCAGCATTGGGGATCACATTTCAACATGAGATTTGAGGGAACAAAACTTGGAAATCATACTGTTAATTTTCAAAATATTTTTGTTATAACTATTTTGATTTCTATATTCTAGCAAACATATCCTTTGGAGAATAGAAACTCCCTCCACTCCTCCAATAAATTCAACTGTAGAAGCTTTAAGAAAAACAGAAATCTTATAAGAAAGTGTTGGTCCAAATATAAATCAAACTAAAATGTTGTAGTGTTTCTAGCAATTTATAGCGTGTAAGAAAAAATAGACCCTTCAAGTGTGCTGACAGAGAAATTATATTTCATTTTTTCACGAATCAAATATTATTATTTGATTCTTCAGTGAATAATGTTCACATGTTCATAGACTGTGAATAATATTAACACGTTCTGTTTTCAGTTTTCAGAATCAATCTACAGACAAAGTATGTTTAAGGGACAGAATGTAAATGTTTTAAATCTAAACACTGAAAATGTATTATTATTTTTAATTTTCACTTAATAATTGTACATATTTATGGGGTACACTGTGATATTTCCATACAAGTATGAAATATGTAATAATAAAATCGGGGTAATTAGCATATCTATCACCTCAAACATTAATCATTTATTTGTGTTGAGAACATTTAAAATCTACTCTTCTAGCTACTTGAAAATACATAGTAAGTCCCATGAGACGTGAGCAAGGCTGGTGCTGGGGCTTCTTCTCCTGAAGGGGCTGCAAGAGGGAAGACTTAGCCATGTCGTCCTTGATCAAAACGGTGATCAGCACCGCGAAAGCCCCAGGGGTCATTGGACCCTACAGTCAAGCTGTGTTAGTCGACAAGACCATTCACATTTCAGGACAGATAGGCATGGACCCTTTAAGTGGACAGCTTGTGTCAGGAGGGGTAGCAGAAGAAGCTAAACAAGCTCTTAAAAACATGGGTGAAATTCTGAAAGCTGCAGGCTGTGACTTCACTAATGTGGTGAAAACAACCGTTCTTCTGGCTGACATAAATGACTTCAATACTATCAATGAAATCTACAAACAGTATTTCAAGAGTAATTTTCCTGCTAGAGCTGCTTACCAAGTTGCTGCTTTGCCCAAAGGTAGCCGAATTGAAATTGAAGCACTGCACTGGAGTGCAGTGGCGCGCTCGCAGCTCACTGCAACCTCCGCCTCTCGGGTTCAAGTGATTCTCCTGCCTCAGCCTCCTGAGTAGCTGGGATTACAGGTGTCTGCCACCATGCCCAGCTAATTTTTGTATTTTTAGTAGAGACGGAATTTCACCATGTTGGTCAGGATGGTCTTGATCTCATGATCTGCCCGTCTTAGCCTCCCAAAATGCTGGGATTACAGGCATGAGCCATGCATTTTCTTTATTCACTCATTTGTTTCTGGGCGCTGAGGTTGATTCCGTATCTTGGTTATTGTGAATACTGCTGTAATAAACATGGGAGTGCCTATCTCTTTGACATACTGATTTCCTTTCCTTTGGATAAATACCCAATAGTGGGATTGCTGGATCATAGGGTAATTTTATTTGTAGTTTTTTGAGGAATCTCTATACTGTTTTCCATAATGGCTGTACTAGAGTTTCACTGAAGGCAGAAGTCAGCTCTTTTGTGGAGGTTCCTCAAATGTCAGTATCTGTATGTCTTTATTGTGGGATGGTTCTATTTTTCTAGAAAAAGGATCTTCTAATATTTTGCCTAAAGGATTTAAACCAGGTATTGTCAGTGTTCTATAACAAGGGATAAAGATTTGGAATTGGAACTCCAAGAGTTGAAGAAAAGTGGTCAGAAGGGTGATGATGTAATGTTTGGCCTGGCGGACATTGGTTGGTGAACCATGTTCAAGCATGCAGTCAGCGTAGGGTCATCTAAAATTCAAGAAAACTCTCCAGCAGCAAAAAGCTGGAGAAAATAAATAAATAAGTCAGAAAGCTAAAAAATATTAGGGAAATTTTCTAGAATGTAGAGCAATAGTCTTTTTGTCCTACCAAAAGATATACAATAAGAGAGGAAAAATACAAGAGCCTCAAGATCTGAATAATAGGAGGTCCAGAGAGAATGAACAGAGAAAATAGTGGGGGAAATGTATTAAAGAAACAATTAAGGAAAATTTCCCAAAATAAAGGAAATGTCTCTAGATGAATGAAAAATAAGTCCATCCACCTGGACGTGGTAGCTCATGCCTGTGATCCCAGTCTTTTGGAAGACCAAGGTGGGAGGGTCACCTGAGGTCAGGAGTTCGAGGCCAGCCTGGCCAACATGGCAAAACTCCATCTCCACAAAAAATTAAAAAATTAGCCTGGCATGATGGTGCACCTGTAGTCCCAGCTACTCAGGAGGCTGAGGCAGGAGAAACTCTTTTTTTTTTTTTTTTTTTGAGACAGAGTCTCATGCTGTGGCCCAGGCATGATCTTGGCTCACTGCAACCTCCACCTCCCGGGTTCCAGTGATTCTCCTGCCTCAGCCTCCCAAGTAGCTGGGATTACAGGCGTGCACCACTCCACCCAGCTAATTTTTTTTTTGTATTTTTAGTAGAGACGAGGTTTCACCATGCTAGCCAGGCTGGTCTCAAAACTCCTGACCTCAGGTGATCCGCCCATCTCAGCTAAAGTGCAGGGATTACAGGTATGAGCCACCATGCCTGGCCCAGGAGAAACTCTTGAACCCGGGAGACAGAGGTTGCAGTGAGCCAAGATCGCACCCCTGCACTCCAGCCTGGGCGACAGAGCGAGACTCCATCTCAAAAAAATAATAATAATAAATAATGAAAAATATGTCCATCAAAAAAGCCATATCATTGTGAAATTTCAAAACCCCAGATACAAAGAAAAGATCCCGAAAGCTTCTAGAGCCAAAAAGAAAACCAATTTATTTACAAAGTGCTGGTTCTAAGAATGGCAACCTTTGTAGTCCTAACTCTCACAGAGAGTTTTCCTTCTACTGGAGCCTATGTTGTTGTCAAACCCCTTTTGCTGAGGGCTCATCTTCTGAGTTTTACTTCTGAATTCTCCCCTTCACTACCCATTTTGCTCTCCTCATTAAAGATATTCTTACAAAGTTCTATCACATACTCAAAACAGTCTCTTCTCCCCTTACCCTATTTCCAGATCTGATGCTGTGACAGACTAAGCGTATACTGGCCTGGATCTTTCTCCCTTTGCTGGGAGAGCCATTTCTTTAGTCATCATCTGTACCGAGCAGTTGTCAACTATGAATTTCCTCAGCACTTGTCAGCTGAGCTCAGTTACCAGGGTTTCTGCAGAGACTGGCTCCACCTGCTTTTCTGCACCAAGATGTTGACAACTTCTCTGTTTTTCCTTCTTGGAGCCATCTCAACCCTCTTTGGTGGTAAGAAGGAGATGAAGACGTCAGTCAGGTAGCAGCTGCCACAACCCACATAATACCAATTCAACCTACAAACACAATCATGAGATTTCTCTTTGCTGGTAACCAGACAAGAGGCCCATCCACACTGTAATTCTGTCCAGTTGAGAGGTGAGGCAACAAAAATCTGCTTAGATTGACAGCAAACACATAAGTATTGTGCCTGAGAAGTTCTTAAGCAGGCAGGCTTGAATTTACATGTTTGTTTACTTTGTCTCTCTGTACTCTCTCCATCTTCTCTTGTATTTCCTTAATGATGGTCTTCTAGTTCCATCTAGGATCATGTTAGGCTCATACTTCAGGTTCTTTCCTTTATTATTTCATTAGTCCATGGAGTTTTAGCTGTTCTTGTGTCCTTATAGTCTGCAAATGCCAGAAATTGTTCAAATGGTCACCTCTTGCATCATTTAGTTTCTGCTGCATAACAAATTACCCCAAAACTTAGTGGCTTAAAATAACCACCTTTTTTTTTTTTTTTTTTTTTTTTTTTTTTTTAAAGCTTATGACTTTTCAGTTCATTAAGTTAGGCTGGGTTCATCCAAGCAGTTCTGGCCAGGTTGGCTGGGGTTTGGCTGGTTGAAGTCTCAACTGAGATGACTCATCTGTACTTTATGTGGTTTCTCACCTTCCAGCAGACAATCCTGGGCATGGTCACATGGTGACAGCTTTATTCAAAGAGTGTGCTCTTTGAACACAACATAGGAAGCTGCAAGGCCTCTTGAAGCCTAGACTTGGAACTCATTCAATGCCAGTTCCGTGGTATTCTATTGACCAAAGCATGTGGCAAGGCCATCCCAGATTCAAAGGGACTCTACCTCTTTTTTTTTTTTTTTGAGAAGAAGTCTTGCTCTGTGGCCCAGGCTGGAGTGCAGTGGCAGAACTTGGCTCACGGCAACCTCCACCTCCCAGGTTCCAGCAATTCTCCTGCCTCAGCCTCCTGAGTAGCTGGGGCTACGGGTGCATGCTACCATGCCCAACTAATTTTCGTAGTTTTTAGTAGAGACAGAGTTTCTCCATGTTGGTCAGGTTGGTCTCGAACTCCTGACCTCAGGTGATCCACCCACCTGGACCTCCCAAAGTGCTGGGATTACAGGTGTGAGCCATAGCACCTGGCCCACTCTACCTCTTAATGGGAGAAACTGTAGAATATTATGGCCAGTTTTACAATGTACTGTATTTCAGTAGAGAAAAACTAGGAGTAGGGAAGGAAAAAGATGGACGACTTTTACTTTTCACTTACAGAATTACGTTTTGTTTAAATTTTTAAAATTATGGATACATATACACTACTTCTACAATAATAACAATGATAATACATTAAAATATGACTCCAAATATTTCTTGTATTATCTTAGTTACACATGAGGATAATAATCTAATCCACTGATACTTTGAAGGACCCATGATTTTGAGTCAAAACACCTGATTCAGACTTTGTCTTTGAACTGCCTCTATCAGGCTAAATAATGATAAATTTAACATGAAATCCTCCAGCATGGAGGTTGACACATAGTAAATGCTTAATAAATGTTGGGTAAATCTGAATCTGAATGAGAAGATAGGGGCAAAAAAAGATGTATGAATAATATAAAAATAGCTTTAAAATCTGTTCTATTATTTTCATTTTTGTTTTCTGAGACAAGGTCTTGCTCTGTCACCCAGGCTGGACTACAGTGGTGCTATCACAGCTCACTGCAACTCCTGGGCTCAAGGGATCCTCCCACCTCAGCCTCCCTAGTAGCTGGGACCACAGGCACACACCACGACGCCCAGTTAGTTGTCTTTATTTTTATTTTTAGTAGAGACGAGGTCTTCCTCTGATGCCCAGGCTGGTCTTGAACTCCTGAACTTGAGTGATCATCCTGCATCAGCCTCCCAAAGTGCTGGGATTACAGGCGTGAACCACTGTGCCCAGCCAAAATCTGTTCTATTAATTTAGTGTTTATAAAAACAACTTGCCAGCTTTTATTAAGGCAACTTGAACTTTAATGGACAAGAAAAGAGATTTGATTTAACTTCATATACTTGGAGTTTGGACTGTTGGAGAAAATATGAACAACAGCATGTCCATTGCTGTAATACAAGTTGGGAATTATAACCTAGGACAGTATCAAGAGTGTTCTTAAATTCTAGTCCTGCAAGTCACCCATCTGATTAAGAAACCATATATCTTATGATACATGCCAGGGATTCTCCTTAGCTATATCAAGTGGGGCCTTGGGGAGACATCCAGAGGAGCTATTTTTCAAAAAACCTTCTTTCTGACTGGGCGCGGTGGCTCATGCCTATAATCCCAGCACTTTGGGAGGCCCAGGCAGGCAGGTCACCTGAGCACAGGAGTTCAAGAGCAGCCTAGCCAACATGGTGAAACCTCGTCTGTACTAAAAATGCAAAAATTAGCCAGCCATGGTGGCACCTGCCAATAATCCCAGCCATTTGGGAGGCTGAGGCAGGAGAATCAATTGAACCCAGGAGGAGGAGGTGGCAGTGAGCCAAGATCACACTATTGTACTCCAGCCTGGGCAAAAGAGCGAAACTCTGTCTCAAAACAAAAACCAAAACAAACAACAAAACTTCCTTTCTTTAGCAGCTGCGGCACACATTAGCAAGTGGCACAAAAGTGACCTCTTAATTTTCTTCAATAGACCCCATATTCAGTTTGGTCTAGTGATTTTACCAGTCCTTACTATTTCTGCAAATTAAAAATGGATAAATAGAAGCAATAAAAATATGCTAGAGAAATTCTTGCAAATCCTTTTGTGGCTGATTTTCAATCCAGAATATATTTTCCTAAGTTTTCACAAAGTATTTACCATAATAGGTCTGCTATTTATTTAATGACCGTTCGATGCCATCCTGACCTTTCCCAGGAAGGTCAAAGAGTAGCCTGTTATTTGAATGCCTAATTTAACTGGACAAAGGAAATTGCTTTCATAATTTCTACTTTGCCCTTCCTGATTGAACCAAATGTCAACTTTCCACGCAATGTTCCCCGACAAACATTCGTATTCCTAATACAACCAGATTAGATCAATCTGCATCTGTCTCCATTGTACCCTGGGATTGCATAAACTCTGGATACATATTTATTTTGTGGATTCATTTCCATGTTAATTAGAACGCAGTTTCCTGGAATTTCTTTTCTGAGTATGATAATCTTCTTACAGTCAGCATGATGGAAACAGCTGTGCGCTGTTTACTTTAAGGAGAATGGTGTTCCTTGCTCAGATTATCATTGGATATGCACTTTCTAGATCAAATATTGTATCTCCATTCTTTCCTATAGAATTATTAGAACATGTTAATTTATGGAGGACTTTCAAACTCAATTTTATTATGCAACTGTGTTTTGGGGAGAGCATACTACACAACAAAAAGTATTGAAAAGCCATAATATTTAATTAAATCCTTTTTCTTCTACTGCAATCTCTGCTTTCTAAGTAGATTTTTTAAGTCAACTTTATTTATTTATTTATTTATTTTTGAGACAGTGTCTCACTCTGTCACCCAGGCTGGAGTGCAGTGGCGCGATCTCGGCTCACTGCAACCTCCGCCTCCTGGGTTCAAGCGATTCTCCTGCCTCAGCCTCCCAAGTAGCTGAGATTATAGGCGCGTGCCACCATGCCCTGCTATTTTTTGTATTTTTAGTAGAGACGGGGTTTCAGCATGTTGGCCAGGCTGGAAATCAACTATTTTTTAATTACAAAAGTTATATATGTAAAGTGCAGAAAATCTGGAAGTTAGACAATCCCACTGTTGTTAACATTTTGATGCCTTTCTTTCAAATACATAATAGATTTTTGTAAGATATTTTTATGCTGAACAGATAAATACAGTATCAGTCCGAACACTTTTTCACCAGCCATCCATCTAATCTCACTAAGGAGTTATTAGATGATAAAATAAAGCAGATTATTCAATCCAACATCAAACATGTTCTGAAGATTTACTATATGCTGTACACTTTCTCCTCTCTGGGTTGGGTGAGAAGAGCACAAAAATAAATAAGACACATCTTGCTTTGTCAACATGATTAGCATCCAAGATAGAGTTGCTTTAGCCTCCACAGGTATATTGCCATTCCAAACAAAGTCAGGCTTAATAAATAAAACTAGAATAAATATTTGGTAGACAACTCAGTCTCTACCACGTCACCTGAGTTTAGCCATGCATGTCTCTTTAGAGCAATCATTATATATAACAGACATTTCAGCTTCGCTCCCTGGAAACTCTTCTCTTCCCTCTCTAGGGTCAGACACATGCTTTCATCAGCACAGTTAAGGATCAGACGAGAGATGAATCAGGCTTTGTCAATTCCCATTCCCATTGTTGCTTACTATCTTATCAACAAAACCAAAACAAGCTTAAGGAAAAATGTTTCATCCGTGAACTTTAATTTCCTCTACTCCTTTTTGTCATAAAAATAAAATAAATTATTTTTCATATTGTACCTTCCTGTGTACGCTTAATCTTTGTTTTTTGCACAAAATTGCAGTATGATTTACTTTACTTTTGGGGTCCAGTCCCAGGCTGAGGTCCTGACCCTAGTGACATACTATAAATTCTTTAAAGCAGAGACACTCAGCTACTGGCTGTTGTCAGATGCTCTGAGGACCTGAGCAGTTGTGGGAAGTTGTTTCTCCAGTTGATGAACACACTGTAATTCTTATTTGGGACAGAAAAACGTTGTAGGAAGATGTTATGATTATATAACAAATAGAAGCCTGGGCAACACAGGGAGACCACTTCTCTACAAAACACTTTTTAAAACTTAGCTGGGCACAGTGGCTCATGCCTGTAGTCCCAGCTACTCCGGAGGTTGAGGTGGGAGGATTACTTGAGCCTGGGAGGTTGAGGCTGCAGTGATCATGTCACTGTGTCACTGCACTCCAGTCTGAATGACAGAGCAAGAAGACCCTGTCCCCCAAAACAAAACAAAACAAAACAAACAAACGAAAAAACAAAAAAAACCTCAAATAGACCTAGAATGTATTTA